CCCCAAAACCCCAAAACCCCAAAACCCCAAAACCCCAAGATCTTAGATGCTGCTGAAAGTATCTAGTTCCAATATTCTGAGATGATTCAAATTTATTCATTGGCCAAGGTAAGGCAACTTGGGATTTCAAATCCGCTGATAAAGATTCTGCCGATGTCACAATAAGTAATGATTTATTCTCCCTCCTCAGCACTATTTCTCTGCTTAAACTTTAGTTGGTAGGTTCAAGCATGATTAATCTAAAGTTATCTATAATACAAACTCTAAATGTTAAAGAATGGTTAGTCTGCTATTGCTTGTTATTTTACGCTGATCTGAGATAAACAGTAAAATTGCTTATTAAAGTTGAGCTATATAATTAAATTCATCTCAATGTCAAAGCCTGCGTGTCTTACCTTTCTATCATGGACATCCAGACCTAAAGATAAAATGAGGCATACATAGGATTGTGACGTATCTTCCTAAAGTACTTTGAGGTAAATCGATGGTATAGCTATTGTATTTGGTCTATGCTTAAAAAAAAGTTTACATCCAAGTTATAGGCGATACAAGCTAGTCTATAGTTGGAATCTTGGATAATCTGGTCCATGTCTAAGGAACCTATTTCTGGTAGGAAATCTGATTTATTATGAATCTTTTCTGTCATCTTTTTAAGGTTACCCTTTACCTCCTCTAAAAATTAAAAAAAATTACCTATTTTTCCTTCATTTAATTTCTTTGAATAAAATTTCTGAGAAAAATTAATAGAATGTTGTGTTGTGCTCAATACTTCAGGAAAGACTCCACAACAATCTTTGCTAGCATAAACATCAAAAATTTCTTGAGCGCGATTAACTTTGTCCTGGGCTTGAAAACCGTTAAACGAATCTGTATATGGTTCTATTTCTTCCTCTTCAACATCTATATTCATATATTGGTTGAAAATATGCCATAAGTGTTCGACTTAAATTCATCAGAAAGATCTCTAAGCATATCTTTTACCATATTTATGTTGTGATCAGAAGCTTCTTTTCCATTCCACTCTAAAGAATTGTAGAGAACTTTCACAATAGTGGTTAGGGGATGATCTTCTGGAATTACTGGATAGTCATGTACAAACAAAGCAAAAGCTTTAATGTTGCTATTTCAGTTCAAAAGTCGGTGAATCTAAATTTTAAATTAAAATCGAACCTTGATGTTGTCAAGCACGAAGAGTTTTTCTCTCGTGAGTTCTCTTTGTATCGAAATGTCAAACTCAATGATCTTTGTGTGGTCCTACATGAAGTTAGACTATCCTTACCTCTTGATAATAGCTTAAAGATTTTCTAACATTTCCTTTGTCATGACCAATAAGTTCAGGGGCTTTGTATGAAGAATTTTCAAGTCTTTTGTAAGCCTTATGGAGGGGAATAGTTTTCCTATATGAACAGTCAAACATGATCCAGTTAATAAAAAGAGCCTCTTCTGATCAGTACCTAGAAGGTGTAGATTTTTATTGAATTGAACGATTTTTTTGGTGAGCTTACTCTTCTCAACACATTTCTTCGTCATCACTTGATGAGGAACTAGGATACAATACTCGATATTTATATCGTAGTCCTCCACTTCTTATCGTACTCAAGGAATCGAGAGATGTCTGCTGGTATATTTCTCACAGTTCATTTGCTTGGGTAAGTTTGCTAGCCTTATTCTCCACTGTTCTGGGATTTTCTGAGTATGGAATTCCTGTTATGCATGATAATCCGTTTGGGAAATAATTCTCAATGCAAGTGTTGTAATGATCCCCAGTTCCTTGAAATACGCAGAAAATGTTATTATGGTTAATTTGATGCCCTCCTGTTGATCTGTAAGGATGATAAGCATCAGAATAAATTGGTTAGAGATTAAGCTACAATGTAATTCATGACTCAAAATTGTAAATGTTCATATTATAGATGATGAACTTGTAATCTCTCATTAAAGTGTTTAAGATAAGATGAGTTAAAAGTAATTTTACCTAGCACACATGACAGACAGCTTCGTCCCCTTTTTGGACATTCTATGATAGATTTTGATTATTGAAGCTGTTGTCATCATATATCTTATGTACTTCCTTTCCGGTCTATAGATGCTTATAAGCACTTACTCTTTTATCTCTTCTTTGTTGTTTTCTTCTTGTTTGGCTTTTCTGTAATCTAATATTGAATCTTGGTACTCTTGTTCTCTTTCGTAATCTTTTACTATGCCCAGATAGTTGTCTAACATTCTTCTGAGCAACTCGTTGTCTTCCCTATAAACGTTGATTAGTTGCTCTAAAATGTTGGGTCAAAATCTTTATTCATAGAGCCCATATTGGAAAAATTTGCGAAGTCATTAAATTTATCTGATGGCATCCTAAATATGCCTTAAGTATCCAAGAAAAGCTTAACCATGAAAAAAGTACCTACATGATGTTGTGATAGAATTTCTTGCTGACAAGTTCAAGTCTGTTATCCATGAGGTCCTTGAACTCAAGGAAAAGGAGGATTTCCCTTATAACAATGTTGGTTAGCTGCATATTTAATATATATTTTTTAACTTTCCCAATCTTATATTCCCTAATAGGGGTTTTGGGGTTTTGGGGTTTTGGGG